AATGTTTATAGAGACAAATATTGCAAAAATAGGCTATAATAACAGTTGGTTTTATTTGAAATAAACTACATGAACTACATGAATGTGCAATGTTAGGTTTCTCTTCTATACTTGTAAAAATTTCTTTACATGCTGATGCTACCCACAGCTCTTTTATAGGATTACTAATTTAATTAGATTGAATATGTTGTGGTGAAATGTCTGCTTTCAATCTATTAACGTCAAATAGTCCCTTACTGATCAAAAGATAGTATGTGAGGCTACACCCATAAATTAGCAACCACAAGGTACTTATGCAACACAATGTGCAATATTATTTCATTCCATATATCCAGATTGTCTGCATGAGCAGGTTCAGGTCAATCTGCAATTCTGGCTCAAGCTGATTATCTGCCATATTCATGCCACGTTCACTTTGGCTGATGTGTATGTGTGTGTGTGCATGTAATATTTCATACACATTAGTGCTTCTGCAAAAACACTGAAAACCTACATGTAACAGAAAAATGGCAAAAAAAAAATATATATATATATATGATAGCTGTTACTCCAAAACGACCAAGTATCAGATTTTAAGTGATTTAAACTAAATATTCATTTCAGAGTTTACTCTAGATAAGGCACTGAGCTAGTTACAAAGTATATAAAGATAATTAAGACATAGTCCATGGTCCATGACCTCAAGAACATTACAGTCTGGTGGGGGAGGTAGACATGAACAAAACAATTGTAACGCAAAGCATGAAAATTTCCCAAAGTGGGATACTGACAAAAACTGTAAGAGTACCAAAAAGGTAACAACTATTCTAAGAATGCCAGTAGGAGGAGAAAACATTTGAAGAGGACCTTACAGAATAAATAGGGTTTCAATAGGTGCTTAGAATACAAAATAAAACAGCAGGATTAAAGATTTGGAAGTGAGAGGATGGGGGAGACGTTCAGAGAATGGCCAGTGGCTCAGGGTTCCAAAGTAAATGGGGTTGAATGAGTAGTTGTTTCATGCTAAGGATTTCAGATTTTATCCCGTACATGATAGAAAGATGAAAGAGTCTGAGCAGGGAGCAATATTCTCCGGTAGATGTTTTAGAAATATCATCTTGGCAGAAGTGTGTAGAATTGTCTGAAGAGCTGAAAAATAAGAGTGACTTCAGACAAGGATTTGTGAGCTTCTCTGAGGCAAAGATTTGTTTTCCTTATTTTTGCATCTTCAGTGCCTTGTATTGTGCCTGGCACAAAGTAAGTTCTCAATGAACATTAAACATTATCACCACAGCCTCAACAGCACAGCATGTGAATACAACAATGAGGCTTAATATCATTACAAGAGATTTCCACAAATGTGTGGAACTGGTCTTGATAGTAGAGGGTATTTCCCCTTTCCTTACGGCTCCTCAGCTTAGTTTATATTCAAGTGTGTCTAAACTTGTTTTATTTCTACCTAGATTTAAAATAATAATGGTAAAAACAATGGTGAGTTAAAACTTATAGGGAAAAGTAATTGCTCTAAGATTCTCTTCACATGCATAATTTTACAACAATGCAGAAACATTAACTCCTGAGGAAAATACACAGATAATTTAAATATGGTAAAATTCACCAAAGATATATAAAGAAAACTACTTTTAGAAATTTCCAAAGATAAGCAGGGAGAAAATATTTGCAAAACATATGGCAGACCAAGAGCAAATATTCCTTTTAAAGAGTGTATGCTCTAGCTAAAAGCATGGACTCTGAACCAGTCTGCTTGGGTTTGCAATTCTGTCTCATACTTTCAAGCTCTTTAATCTTGGGTAAGATAAATTATCAATGTCCCAGTTTTCATATCTGTAAACTGGGGTTTATAATATAGTATCCACTTTATAAGTAGTCGTTCAATCAAAGTTAGCTATTTTTAAAGTATTACTCTTAATGTGGCAGAGACTACTATATATTTCCCCAAATCTGTTCTCTTCTTCTTATTTTAATCATAGAATCTCCAAGTTGTAACTATGCAATGACTGTCCAAAATAAACACTGAATCTTCCAGCCTTTATTGCTACTGAGTGACCATGTGACTAGGGCCTGGACAGTGAAATGTAAGCAGAAGTGTTAGGTGGTATCCTACGGGAACCTTCCTTAAGAGACAACTGTATACTTACCACATTCTCAAAATTAAATATAATGAAATTACTAAGGGTTGATGAGGATATAGAGCAACAGGAGCTCTCAAACATTGCTAGTAGGAGTGTAAATTGGTACAATCACTTTGCAAAACAGTTTGGTATTATGGAATAAAAGTGAAGATATGCATACTCAATAATCCAGAAATTCATTCCTAATTTTACATTCTAAACAAATGCCTATGTATATTAGGATACATGTACAAGGATATTGACTGCAGCATTATTTGTAATTGCCAAAAACTGCAATAATCTAAAGGTCCATCAACAGCAGAATGGATAAATAAATTGAGGTATATTTACACGATAGAATACCACTCAGCAATAAAATTAAATTAACATATACACATACAACAACATCCATTGAATAGAAGAATCAAGAACCAATCTAGCACAAACAGTATGATTCAAAAAGAGGCAGAACTATATCATTTAGAAAGGCATACTTGGGTGAAACTTTAAAGAAAAGCAAGGCAGTGATTACCATAAAATCAGGATTATAGTAATCTCTAGGTCTGGGGGAGACTTCCTCTACGGAGAATTGTGATTAAAAACCAGTTTATGAAATTCTTGCAACACTCTGTTTCTTCACTTGAGTGGAGGTTGTATGGATGTTTCTTTAAAATAATTTTTAAAACTGTACTATGTACTTTTCTATATGAACATTATATTTCACAATTTTCATTACAGATATATCAAGAAACATTATGCTCCTGGTCTATTCTCTTTTTCATTCCTTCATCCTGCTGCCTAAAATATAGATACTGCCACCTGAGACCATGAGAACAAGGATCACAATATAGGAATATCAGAGCAATGAGCTGGAAGGTAAGTCGCTGAGGACTTTGGGGCACAGCTGCCATATCAATCTCTGAACCTTTTACCTCTGTACTTCATTTACATTAAAGAGAAATAAATTTTATACTATTTTGGAATTTTCTATATTTATACAGCCAAACCTGATATTAACTAATATACCTATATATCAGATCTTCAAAAAGACAACCTACTTAATAGAAAAATTGCCTGATCTCACACCCACACCCACCCACACACACACCCAATTATGCAATTCATGGGAAAAGAAATCCAAAGGGTTCATAAACATCCAAAAAGTGTTTAATCTCAGCAGTAATTAGAGAAATGCAAATTAAAACAACAGTGAGATAGTATTTTTCATGCATCACATTGGCAGACATTTTAAAGAGCAATATATTCATTTCTGTTGAGTATTGAGGAAAATGGTCCCTCTTTGGCATTAGTAACACAAATTGCTATAAATTTTTGGAAGGTAAATTGGCAATATCTGTCAAATTTGAAATGCTCTCACCCATTTGAGCCAGAAAAGTAACACAAATCTATACCACAGAAGTAGCAGCAATAATATTCAAGACTACATGTCCAAGAATTCTTATTGTGGCATTATTTGTCAATGTAAAAACCCAGAAACAATCTGTTAAATCCAACAGTAGTAGAATGTTTGGAATAAATTATGGCATATCCTTACTATGAAATATTATGCAGGTGTTAAAAAAATGAGTTATATCTACATATCGTGATTTGGAAGGTTGTTCATAATGTATTGTTTGGTGAGGAAAATAAGTTACCTATTTTTATATAATTGGCCAACCTATTTTGTGTATGCATGTCTATATAAACTTCTATGAACATGCAGGAAGGTGCGGAAAGTTACACCCCAGATTATTAACATTGGTTACTTGGGAGGCGAGGCGGTAATGGAAATTACTTTCTCTGTATTCATTTTTGAATTTTTTTTACTGGTTGCAATGATTATAACTATGTGTTGCTGTTGCTTTTGTAATTTTTACAAAACTACTTAATTTAAAATTGGTTGTAATAAAAGGTATATATCCAAGGATGCAGAATAATGTACCCCAATGCCCAATGAACATCTTTACAATTTATTATCACCAAACATTAAATCTACATTGCTGAAGCAAACTGCACAAACCTGTACAAAGCAGAACGAAGTAGGTCACTTAAGAAAATAATGTGGCTTATCCACTGATGTTTCTTAATTAGTATTTTGTTAATAATTAACTTGAAAGACACCCATGTGTTAGTACAATAAATAAATGCATGTTGCGTCTTGCAATCTTCTGGGAAGGAATTTAATACCAAGCTATGTCATGGAAAGGAAGACAGGAGTTAAGAAATACAGAGAAAGGGACAATTCTTCTTCCCTATCGGGTGGCTCCAGTGATTGCTAAATGAGCGTGTTTGCGAGGAGGTGGCTATCAATCAAGGTATACAGTCTGCATGTCTCAATTCTAACTTAGCTTCCTGCCCTTCCTCAAATGTTCTTCTGCCATCAAGGCATGGCCAACGCCCAGCCAGACACCTGAGTCATGTTTGCCTCCTCCCTCTTGCTTTCCTCTGTCCCTGAATCTGTTTGGTTGCTAAATCCTCTCAATTTCCCCTCTGGAAGGCCTCTGCCTTTGCCCTCCCTCTGGGCTGGATTAGCTAATAACATCGAAGCTGCCACTACCCAAGAAGCTCAGACTCCTTTTCCTGGTCTTCCCACCTTTCACATAGGCTCCTTCTGGCTTCTGGTCACCTTCTCCACTGTCACCCTCCGCGCCGCACGGCGAAGATCCTGCTCACCCGCCAGGACCTCAGCCCGGAGCGGGTCCCGCCGTCTGCCCCTCGGAAGCCTGGGCGCTCCAGGATGTGGGCCCCAACGCAGACGGAAGTGCCGGCAGCTCGAGGGGCGGGGCAGGGGGCGGGGCCTGGCCCGGCTGGCCAATGGAAGCGCTGAGCCCAGAGTCAGAGGTCACATGTGCAGTGGGCGGGAATTTTCTCCTGAGAAGACCGGTAGGAGGCGGTTTTCCCTCTGCCTGTACCCTGAGAGGCTGGAGAGACGAGGGAGGGAAGGTGTTTTTAGACTGAGGGGAAGAAAGGATCGACGTGGGGCTAGAGTATGGCAGCTCCGAAATCTCTGGAAAACAGATTTGTGAGGCGTGGCTGATGTGACCCTGTGGGGACAAGGCCCCAGAACGGGTGTCCACCTAACCTAATTAGGCGAGAACAGAGGGTGTGAAGGACACGGGTAGGCCGACGGGACTTCAGTCCACTAACCAGAAGTTGTATAGCTTAAGCAACATGAGAAAAGATATGAACCTCACCTGTGCCATTTTACATGGTTAAAGCGTGAGCTTTATGCCAGGGAGCGAGGAAGGGAAGAAATCTGATCCCTCCTCCGGTGGGAGGAGATGGGAAGCCAGCCCGGAAGACCACGCTCACCTGCGTGTGGTCTCAAACAATCTTGGGAATAATATGCCATTGTATATATGTCCACCTTAAATAGACACAAGTTTTATTTGGGCAGAAAAAATCTTGGGAAACTTTCCTCCTCCAGCCTTGTGGATGAGAACCTGACCTAATGAGTTGTCTGTATTTCCATTTTGCCCCAGAAGATAGCGGTCAAGAGGTAGCACAGGAGAAATAAAATCATTACAAACAGGTAAGGAAAAATATTTCAGGAATCGCTGCAATTCAAAAGTTGGTTATTTTAAAACACCTTCTCTCTAATCATGATTTTGCTTGTTCCCCCCTTGTCTTTGATTTTAGAAATAAGGCCAATTTATCTCTCTTCCTATCCATCCACCACTCTAAGGTGGATTCAGATATCTGTAATGCAATGAAATAAAGTTGACAGATGAAAGACATTCTGTGAATGTATATAAGGCGTGGTATCTTAAGTATTATACATTTAGCGTGAATTTGAATGATTAACTTTAATACAACAGGGATTATTGTTTAAGGTAGTTGATGAGAGTGATGAATCCGAAGCTAATAGAAAGATTAGGCTTCACAAGAAAGGAACATCTAAGATAAGTGCTGACAATAAACCAAATGGGTAAACTACACAGAGTTGATATGTTTGTAGCTTTTTGAAATGACTTCTAGGATGAGGCACAATCAACTTTTTCTGAAAGCACAATATCAAGAAGTGGAAATTCTAGAATCAATATGTGCTTCAAAGATCAGTGATACACTGTAGGGAAAAGGTATGGAAGTACAGTGATTGGAAATATTTCCAGAGACATAATCACCAGTAAGAAAATGCTGTGTTGGCATTGTTCAAGTAAGAGTGAAAGAGGGCGCCAACATTGTGTATTCCCCACATGTGTTGATTCCACAGAATCTAACAATGTTAAAAATAATTCAGATAACTTATTGGGTTTGTTTTCATTGGAAAGCTTATAGTAATATCCAAAATGTCTTCTGATTCATTATTCAAATGAGATCATTGTGTGCTGTACTAAGAAGTTTGCTCATAGTTTTTTTAATCCGGTAGTTGAGTAGTTAAGAATATTGGCTTGATAATAACTGAAAACAGGAACAGCTTCATAGCCAATTAACGTAGATGGGACCATCAGGGCTTCTGGTGCAGAACCTTCATCACAGATAAGAAAGTAGGTCAACCTCAAACAAATTTAAAATGATAATGAAACTAAGGCAAGACCATTTGGGTTAAAATGTATATTTCATTCACTGAAAACTTATTGAGGGGCCGACCCCATGGCTCAGTGGTTAAGTTCCACGTGCTCTGCTTTGGCGGGCTGGGTTCACGAGTTTGGGTCCTGGGTGCAGACCTACACCACTCATTGGCCATGCTGTGGGGGCAACCTACATGCAAAGTAGAGGAAGATTGCACAGGTGTTAGCTCAGGGCTAATCTTCCTCAAGTGAAAAAAAAGGGGAATATTGGCAACAGTTGTTAGTTCAGGGCAAATCTTCCTCAGCAAAGAAAACAAACAAACTTATTGACAAACTACCATATGAAAACTTCTAGCTTACATCTGAACTTCCCAAGACATTTTACATGACTGATCATAAAGCTAAGAACTATCTGATAAACTGGACTCTGTCCTAGAGTAATTTTTCTAAGCTGTAATTCCTCTGGTTCTCACATAAGTGAGAACTGTTTTGGACTCATTCAGCATTCTAAATTTTACTCATTGCTTCATTAGATGAATTTGTTAGTTTACCAATAATGACCTAGGAGTAATGCACCATCGTTGCTTTATTCCAAATGAGCTAGCTATTAGGGAATTCAAACTTCAGGCTTTTTATTTTCTAAATGGGAGAGTGGAATTTCCCAAATTCTACTTCCGTGCTTCAATACAGTTTTGCCCTTGGTTATTTGATTTCAAGACTGCTTAGGAATTATGGTTATCCTGAGAAAACCACTCTGCCAGACTTGTGAACTCCAGCCTCTTTTGCAACAAAATGATCACATTAAATATATTTAATCCACCAACTAGAAGTTATATGGATTAAACAGTTTGAAAAATATATGAACAATTTTATATCAACATGTATTATTTTCATATTAGATTTAAATCATAGTAATAAATGTTATTTTTGTAATTAATTTTTTATCATTTAGAGCCTGTCTTTAAATGAATGAGCCAAAGTTTTAAGATTGAGTGGTTTTCTGCTCCTGGCTTTGCTATTTTACCAATATTTAATTTTAATTTTTGTATTTCCAGGTGTTGAAATTTGTACTGCTTGCAAAGAAAGAAGCTATGTTTTCAACATTCAAATATTGTGCAATAGATTATTTATATGAGGTAAAGTGTTATTGGATGACTGCCTATTTACTAAGAATTATGATATAAAAAATTGTTATCTGCATTCACTATATGATTATGATAATTTTGCAGTAGTCCTTAGGCTAATCCTTAGTCTTAGTTTAAAATTCACTTAAAATTACTTTCCATTTTAAAAATACCTTAAAAATGCCACTTTTGGAAGGAAATTATTGACAATTTAACATCAATTTGAAACTGTCAGCAGAAAAAAATGGAAACTTTTGGCAAGTTTGGGCTGTTTTTGTGAACAATCTTAAGTGATCTTTCTTGAAAGGAGTGGGGAAAAAATCAATCCCAGTATCTTTATGATAAAATAACAGTAGCAGCATGTGTTAGCCACTTACTATGGGCCAGATACTTTGTTCTTTTGATGGATTATGTTATTTGATCATTTGCTCTTTTGATGGAGTGTATCATTTGATCATCATAACTACCCCGTGAGGTAGCTACTATTATTACACAGGTTTTACAGGTTAGGAAACTGATGTCTAGAGAAGTTAAATAGCTTGTACAAAGCTGAGATTCAAGCTGGCACATTGTTAAGAAACTAATCAGAGTGGTTGTCATACAACAGTTCATTGTTCTTATGATCTTAATTGACAAGTTAAAATTTGGTTTTCTTTGTAACCTTGACCGCATCTACCAAGAAAAAAAAATTACTCCAGTATAACTAAAATTGTGTTACATTTTACAGGGAATAAGGACACATAGGCATCTTCAGGTTTTATTATTCCCTCATAACTGAGGAAGGCAAGTGTATCATTATAACATATACATGGAAGAGAAACAGAATCAGAAGTCATTGTTGCACAAATATGTTTATGAATATATTGGTCACTTGGGAAATTAATCTCCACTCAGACATCCTTAAACTTTTATCCTTGCCCATGATATCTTACTTTTTTGGTGGCCTACCACACCCCATGATACAGCACAAATATGATGATAATCAATGGTCTTGTAAAAGATGCAGGATTTTGTAAAGTTCATGTAAACCATGTTGAAGAACCACTCAGACAACAGATAAAGCTATTAGCAGATGAAGATCTTGCAAAATTAGATCAGTTAACAGACAAGAGCAACAGAACGGTTTGAATATCAAAGGAGTCAGAGACGCCTTGGGGAAAATTGATTAAATCCTCAAATATTTTCTAAAAATATCTTCTTTATGATTAAAGGTGAAGTAATGACCAATATCATACACATCATCATATAATATAGTTTGTGGGGAAATTCTGACAAAGATCAAATATAAGCTAATTATAAATGAAATTTTATTATGTATAAAATTTAATTTTTATAACTTTATTTCATTTCTTTAGATAAAGTACCAATCAAGCTTTTTTTCCTTTTTACTGTCTTTGGTCCTGATTTTATATAAATTACTTCAACTGATCTTTTCTCTGTACCATTTATTCTTAGATACTGAGGACCTCTTATTTAATATGTTAAAACACCTTCAGCAAACATAAAACTTGGGAAATAATGCAAGAAACCATCTTTTGTCCAAATTCATAGAATAATTAATTCTGTGGGAAGCTGAGAGTCATTGAGGGGGGGAAGTTTCATAGAGAAGATATTGCTTAAGATGGGCCTTGAGAGGTGAATAGGATTTTGATAGCTAGAAAAGAGTAGCAGGACATTTTTCAAAGGCACACTGTAGGTCATGGTGTTGATGAGGAAGTGACTGCTAAATGTTAAGGGGGTAGTGAGGAGACTAGTGTATTTAAAGAGAACATTTAGGGGCTGGCCTGGTGGCATAGTGGTTAAGTTCATGGCCTGGATCCTGGGCATAGACCTACACACAGCTCATCAAGTCATGCTGTGCCAGCGTCCCACATACAAAATAGAGGAAGATTGGTATGGATGTTAGCCCAGGGACAATCTTCCTCAAGCAAAAAGAGAAAGATTGGCAATAGATGTTAACTCAGGGCTGATCTTCCTCATCAAAAAAAATTAATAAATAATAAAATTGTTTTAAAAAAAGAACAGTTAGTAGTACAGAGTATGGGAGATAAAACTGAAAAGTAAAGGCAGATCCAAATTATAGATAACTGATTTACAAGTTTCCTTATCCGACTTAACGTCCTTTAAAGAAACAGTTTTATTTATTAAATATTTCTTTTTAGTTAGAAACATATTTGCTGGTTGTCATAAGTGAAGTAATGCAAAGACATAGAAAACAAAAGTTAAGACAGCCATATTATACTGTTATGTGGAAAAAAAAGCACATTGCCAAATGGTATAGAGATATGATCTTACTTTTTCCTCAAACATGCACACACACATTTTAGCTTAAGCTAGAAAGAAAAGTCTGTAGGAAAATACACCCAACTATTAATAATACGGCTAGGGACCTTGACTTTCTTGGTTATGTGGTGCTGTGTCATTTGATATTTTGTAATGAGCATGTATTACCTTTAAATAAAAGTAATATACATTTAAAAGAATAGAGAGTTTTAATAGTCTAAATATGGATAGATAAATGTATTAAATCTGATAAATATATTAAAAGATTTTATAATTTTACTTTCTTACATAGAATGTAATTAGGAAGAAGTTTTCTAGAGATGCTTTCTTGCTTCGAATCCCTTCATGTTTATATCAAGATGGAGATTATCTTACAGGAGTTATTGATAGTGCATTTAGGAGGCCATGGACAAGAGGTATGTTTTGTTTTTATTTCTAAAAAATCTATTTTAAAAATTATTTCTGTTTAGCAGAGTAAATTATTAAGAAAATGCAGTGTTTTTCTCATTAAATAAAAATGCATTGCATTTATTCATATCAGAATTCCAAGAAGTTTATAAATTGATATTTTTGTGACAGAATTTAGGTGACAAAATAAGGAGTTGGAAAGCTTACACTAAATATGAGTAGAACGAATAAAAGATATGTAGATGATGAAGTCTTAAAATATTCTAACATTGTAAACATTTGTTGTGTTATAATGGATCTTGCTCAACTGTAGGAGTGCTACTTTAAGTTGTAATGATACACTGACTATAAAACTATTTTTAAAGGTATGTGTACAAAATATCATCTTTTGCTTTTATCATGTCATGGACTTAAGAAAGAGGTAGCCTTCAGGGGGGAGTCAACTCAGTTAACAGCATTTATTTAGCATGTATTATGCACTAGGCACTATGTTACAGGTGCTAATGACACAGTTACTAATAAGACACGCAAATAGTCCCTGCCCTCAGTGAGTTTTCAGACTGGTAAGGAGGATGCAGCAATAAAAACATTTAGTGTATAAATTAATATCTTGTATTTGTAAGTGTACAGAGAAGACACAATAATGTAATGTGATATGAAATTTCAGGAGTAGGGAGTGCTATGAGGAGGTGGACATTTGAGTTGAGAACTGAGTAATGAGAAGGCAGCAACCATAAAAAGATATGGAGGAGGAGCCTTTCAAACAAATGCAAAGTTCCCGACCCAGGAATAAACTTCATGTGTGTAAGGACCAGAAAATTAGGCCATTGTGACTGGTTGATGAAAAAGGGGAGACCTGAGAAGTAGGGAGTTTCTGAAAGATAGAAGGCTTTGCAAGCCATAATAGCAAGTTTGTTTGTTTATATTATGGCTGATGTGGGAAGTCACTGGACAATTTTAAGAAAGAGAGTGGTATAACCTGATTTATTCTTTAGAAAAATCGTTCTGATTGTCTGCAGCATGGAATGGGTAGGGAATGGGAGACAAGAGTAGAGATAGGAAACTAAATCAGGAAGTGGCTTATTGTCATGATTCAGAATTTAGACTCCTAGGTGAATCTACACTCTATGTAAAAAATGACGGTGCTTTGGACTAGGCTTCTAATAATGGAGATATGAGAAGTGGATGAGACTGGGATTATTTTACAAGTCCAGCCAACAGTGAGAGTGTTTGAAAAAAAAACAAAATTAAGAATAAAGAATCTCTTCTACGGTTTTGACCTGAGTGACTGGGTAGATGGCAGTGCTATTTCCTAAGGTAGAGAAAGGCTTATAGGGAAGCCAGTTTGTGGCTGGAGTCAATAGCTCTGCTTTGCCCAGGATAAAATGCCTATTGGGCATCTAACTAGAGACTCAAGAAGGCAATTGGTTATATAGTAGTGCCCCCTTATCCGCGAAGAATACGTTCTAAGAAACCCAGCGGATGCCTGAAACCGCAGGTAATACTGAACCTTATATATACTATGTTTTTTCTGATACGTACATATTTGAGGTGCAACAGCAAAACTGGCACGAATTTCTTTTTCCTTCTTCTCAATGTCACCAATAGAAGATTTGATCTTACGGTAGATATTAGCAACCGTAGCATACAATTTTTTTCTTTCCTTATTAAGTCCAGAACTTTCACCTTTTCACTTAGAGGAAGCACAGCTTCTCTTTGGCTTATCTGAATTGCCCGCATGACTACTCTTGCTCTTTGGGGCCATTATTAAGTGAAATAAGGGTTACTTGAACACCAGCACTGTGATACTGGGACAATCGATCTGATAACCAAGCCAACTACTAAGTGACTAACCGGCACGTAGCATATATACAGTGTAGATACCCTGGACAAAGGGATGATTCACATCCCAGGTGGGACAGAATGGGATTTCAGCACATTACTCAGATCGGTGTGCAATTTAAAACTTATGAATTGTTTATTTCTGGAATTTTCCATTTAATATTTTGGAACTGCAGTTGATTACAGGTAACTGAAACCATGGAAAGCAAAACGATAGTTAAGGGGGAACTACTGTACACATATTAGAGAACTTTCTCTTCCTTATCTATTATTGGCATCATGTAGGGTTGCCAGATTTAACAACTAAAAATACAGGGACCCCAGTTAAATTAGAATTTTAGATAAATAATGGGTCATTTTTTAGTATATGTTTCAAATATTGCATAACATATGCCTATGCTAAAATTTTCTTGTCTAGCTGAAATTCAAATTTATTTGAACATTTTGTATTTTCTCTTGGAACCCTAGCATCATGGACACCCATGGATCCTGGGCTATCCCAGACATCCAGGAGATGCCTACCATCTAACCTCCTTGGAGTCCATTGGCATCTCTTCAGTTTTCTCTGGGACCAAAACTGTGTCCTGGCCTTATCTAATGTCAAATCCTGCGCTCCTGCAATTTCTGCCTCCTCGCTTGTTCCCATCTCAACAAGAGAGCAAAATGAAGAACAATTCTTCAGTTATTGAACAATCTTGTATCTTTCACAATTCGCATTACCGTTTCTTCCCATTTACTTAAGTTCTCTTTTATAGTTCCATTTCCAAATACTGCTAGAAAAGTCACTGTTACTAGATTTTGCAGCAGAGATTGTGGCTGATTTTCTTGCCATTATTTCCCCAGTAGCTAATCTAGTGCATGGTAGGTGCCCAGTGGAGTTCAAGAAATACTTGTTGAATGAGTTAATTAAAGAATAATTCCTTACAAATTTTTGTTAGAACAGATGGAACAGAGTGTTCTCTTTTATTCCAGAGGTAGTTTTGGGACATCTTTGCGTATTTATGGATAGGATATGTTTTTTAAAAAGTTATTTGTATGTGGACAGGTTATATGCTTTTGTTTGGACTAGCTAGGGGCGTGTGTGCATGTGCGCACGTACGAGCACGTGTGTTAGGACAGAGTATATGTGTATTGGAAGGAGCCCTAGTGTGTTGGTGGGTGGTAGATTACTGCACATGTTATGACAAGTGCGTATGTTTGGTTAGTATGTGTGTGGTGTGGGTCCCATGGTGACAATAAGACCCTACAAGAAGGAGAGCCAAGTCACCATTATGCAGTTTTTCTGTCTGACCTGCTTATCCTGTTTCCATTGTCTCCAGGTACCAGGAAGGTACACTAGAGCTGGCTGAGAGCAGACTGATGGTGAATAAAAGGAGACCTTTAGCCCCCTCCCTTTGGGTTAGTCACACCTAAAAGACACGTGGGAGGTGAGATTCTGACACAGTGCTTCCTGAGTTATGCCCTGGGCATGGCCTTCAATGTGCTCGCCTAGAACCCAGGGGAAAAGGGTACACCTGGGATGTGTCCACCCTGAGGGTTTTGTGCAGTCAGTCTGGTAGCATCCCTGAGTCTGAGCCACATCTTTGAGGCTGACATACCAGCCTCTTTGTTTATATACAGTTAATATTTTATTCACGTCAGTCCTGGAAATTTGTCTGCAGAGAATGTTAAATGAGAGCTCCTCTAGCTAGTGGTTCTCACTCAGGATCATGGGGAACGGGGAGTAACTCTAACAGAATCTTCAGCTGTGACTGAGATTGGGGATGGGAGAACGGTTCAGTGCTCCTTAGATAACTTGGATGCCACTCTTTCCTCCTCTAATTGAGAAATACTGCTCTGGTCCAGTCCCCTCTTATTTTACAGAAGAGGAATAAGACCCAGAAAGGGGAAGAATCCTGCTCAGAGTGAAAAGGTATTATGATCAGCATGAATTTTGCCAGCTTGAGGTTCTTGGAGCCACCTAGTTAAGATAATAACCCTTCATAGGTGGGTCTGTATTTATTTAGCTGCATCTGTGCAATCCTGAATATAGCGTCGGAACTAAATAAGCATTCTTTGTGGAATTA